TTGGCAGCAAAGGAATTTAAAATGAAGAATGAACTGACCGTTAGGCAAGTGAATGTTGAAACATTTAATTTTGTGGCTGCTGTGTATGAACCTCATGATAAATTCTGGGATTAGTATCGGACCAATATCGACAGTTATGACGAGTTACTACGCATTTAAGAAAAAGGAACATGCGTCGGAAAAGCAAGTGTTGAATAGAAAATGTTCATCGTTTATAATTCGTTCACTCATATCTTCACAAAATTGTAGTCGCCGATTAAAATCGTCTTCATTAAGTTCTTGTACCAGGTGAATTTTATACGGAAGAAAACTATGGGCCTTAGAATCCGTTGGACAGTACGTCGACTAACGTAGGATCTACATAAACTTGCCATAAAACCCCCACTTCTATTGCTTCGTTCCTTATGGGATTTTAAATGTTGCGTTTTTTATTGGCGACTGACCCAGTTTCCCGAAAGTTCTAGAACATATTTTCGATGCACGCTACTGTTCTCATGTCGCTCATTAAATATTTCTGCTGTTCTATTAGCGCACTGATTATTTCCGATAAATATTTCGATAATTTCAACTCTTTCTGCTGTGGAATATACCATGGTTAATTTATGTAATAAAGCGTTACAAGTGATTTTAGCAACAAAGTTTGGTCAAAACAATCGCAAACTATGTACTAAATTCCTATTTAAAATAAGTACCAGATATTTCCTTATCTTTCTTCAAGAAATAACTTTTCGGCGCAAAAAAACGCTCCAATAGCTATTTTCAACAAAAAAATGATAAATAAACCATAGGCGTAGTGAAGAAAAGCATTTACTTATTAAGTAAATTCTTTTAGTCAAATTTCTTCTGAAAGTAGTACAAACTGATCTAATGTACCTATTAAAGTCTATTTTAAGCTTTAAATCAATAAATCTTCAAAACTACTGAACTGAAGCTCATGTATTTACATCATTATAAAGGGAATTGAGAGACCTTTAAAATAAGGTATCACTCGACCCCCCTTTCCATTTAAGATTTGTTATCACCCCCGCCCAGTGGGCTGCACGTATTAACGTGATTTTTTGCCAAACTTGTGTCCCCTCGAAACAAAATCGACCGGTCTGTGCGTTTTTAAAAAAAAACTGAGCTGCCAGTAAATGCGTCTGTTTCGTTTTCAATGCGCCACCCTTGTATATGGTTGCAACTTCCAAAAGAAAAAATTGCTATTGGTATATTCTATCGACCCCCACATAGCTCTGTCACAGAAGCCGGTAATACCTTTGATGACATGTTGCCTGCCATATTAGCTGAATATGATGATATCATCCTTGCAGGGGATATTAATGTTAATTTGCTTTTAGTTTGTAACAACTTCACTAAATGCCTTGATCTTATAATCTGAAACAGGTGATATCTGAACGGACTAGGATAACTGAATCGACACTCACTCTCTTAGATCCTATTTATTTGAGCAAGCTTGAAAGTTGTCTTAGGAGTGGCACTATTATTGCTGATATGATTACCGATCACTATTTAACCTTCTGTGATATACTACCTAAAAATCAACAGAAATCTGTGACATTCAGAGATTTCCATAGGTTAAATAAAATAGCGTTTGACAAGATTTCAAGAATTTTCCATGGTGGCATATTATATCGATAGATGACATTGAAGATAAAATTAACTTTTTAACAGACGGTATTTTATGTTTCCTTTAATGTTCACTGTCCAAAAAAGGTAGTGCGTGTAAACAAAGCTCTAGCTCCTTGCTTGGATCATAATATTGAACTTGTATTCAAGCTGAGAGCTGTGATCGTATAGCTGCCTCTTGGCAACAGTATACGTATTTCAGAAATCGTGCATTAACGCTCGTGCGGAGAGGAAAAAAAGATATTATTATTTATATTTCAAAATCAGGATATAAAAAAGTTTTATGAAATCCTAAAGACTTTCAAAGTGCAATGTCCTACAATTCCCGTGAGCTTATCAGTTCCGTATAAATAAATGAGGCACTCATTTCAATTTCGAGAATAGTGATTTGGGTGTGCTGATAAAATTGCATATTACCGAGCTGATAAAAATACCTCAAAATCCAAATTGCAATTTAATAAAGTGACTATTGACACCGTTGCTAAAATTATAGATAAAACAAAATCAAATTCTAGTTGTTCAGATGGAATAACTTTGCATATGATACTACCATGTATACCTGAGATTGATGTGTACTTACACATATTATCAACTGCTGTTTAGAGAGGGGATATTTCCCCAAACGTGGAAATGCTCTATAGTTGTTCCGCTACCTAAGAGTTCTGATCCTACTAACTATGGTCAACTGAGACCGATCAGTCTTCTGCCAATTTTTCTAAAGTATTGGAACGCGTTGTTCTTATATTCTAACAAAATTATTCCATCTAAACAATCTGACTTCGACAAGGTCGTAATATACTAAGTGACATATAAATTCGAACACTCAGTTTAAATGGTTTTATTTTAATAAAATTTTGTATAAGTACTTAATGAAGCCTAATAAGTAAATGATAAAAATTTCAAAATGATTGCACAGCTTTAAAGCCCTTTGACCTTTAATAATGTGTGGATGCACCCTGATGTGCTACGCATTCTCCAACGCGCCTAGGCATGCTTCTGATCAGGTGGTCAATGTCCTCCTGTGGTATCTCATTCCAGGCAACCACCAACTCCTCTCGAAGTGCTTCTAGAGTCTGAGGAGGACGTTGCAAATTGAGCAATCTCCTACCCATCATATCCCACACGTGCTCAATTGGGGATCAGTCGGGAGATCTTGGTGGCCATGGTAACAATGTGACATCATTATGTTGAAAGAAGTCTATTGTGACTCTTGCAATATGTGGTCGGGCATTGTCTTGTTGGAAAGTTGGATCTGCCATGGTGTCAAGATGGGGTAAAAGATGTGGTTCTAGAACTTCGTGCATATAACGCTGCGCGTTCATGTTACCTCTGATGAAGATTAAAGGTGACCTGGAACCATAAGCTATAGCACCCCAAACCATAACTCCAACAGTGTGATGAACATGTCTTTCAACAAAAACTGTGGATTCCTCCTTTCACCACGTCGCCTTCTAACCCTGGCACGACCATCGTGCATGCCTAAATAAAATCGAGACTCGTCACTAAAGACAATACTGTTCCATTCCTGATCCCAGAGTGACCGTTGTCTGCACTACTCAAGGCGATTACGTCGGTGTTCTCGAGTGTGGCCGGTATGAAAACAAGCCAAAAACTTCTCATTCGTCGGTAAACACTTCGCATGCCAATAGGTCTTCCGTGTTCTGCAAAACCATTCATTTGCAATGGACCTGGTAGTGGAGAAACGGTCCCTTAAGGCCAATAATCTTAGGCGGCGATCTTCACGGTCTGTTGTTCTACGGCGGCGTCCAGTGGCCCTTGCTCTTTGCGTACGACCTTCTCGAAGCCATGCCTGACAACACCTAACACAGTGTCTACACTTCTTTGCACTCTAACTGCAATTGCCCGAAAGAAAGTCCAGCTCCCGAAGTCCCACTATACGGCCCCTATCAAAACTCACAAGTTGACGAATCGTACAGGTCTCCGTACTCTAGGCATCGTAACCGATCGTAAAGTAGGTCAAGAACCAAGATCCGCCAACGTGAGTTCTTACTGCGGGCTGAAATATTCATTTTTAGAGCGTTAGTGAATTAAAAAAAGTAGTTATAAAAACCGGAATGTCCAACTGATAAGGCCGAAAATGTTGTCACTGTTATTTACAGTAAGATAAATACATTCACCAACTTTTATTAAAATAAAACCATTTAAACTGGGTGTTCGGATTTATATGTCACTTCGGCGCTCTGTGATCTTGTAAATCGGTATCAAAAAGTTCGTCTAAATCAACAGTACTCTACCGAACAAAAAATTTGTTCTGGTGTACCACAGGGATCAGTCTTAGGACCTTATTATTTCATTATCTATCTTAGATTTAGAAAAAGAGGTAAAATCATGCAGCATACAATTTTTTGCAGACGCTGCTCTATTCATTTAGGAGTAATGATTTGGAAACAGCAAATAATAAAATTAATCGAGATCTTACCCACATTGAACAGTTCAGCAGTAGTCATAATCTTCGTTTGAACCCTTGAAGACAAATATGTTGGTGTACGCAAATGGAACAAAAAAATACTTTAAAAAGGACATAGACTTACATTTAAAGGGTAATAAATTAGTTCCTGTGGACCATTCGAAAGAACTAGGTTTTATAATGGATGATGACTTAAAATTGTTGTACACGTACAGAGTTTTATTTGCAAATAAGGCAATATTACATAAATCTGCGAGAATGCGTTAATGTCCCTATTCAAAGTATTATGAATACAGGTTGCAGACTTGTAATGGTCTCAGAAAGTATGATTATTATCGAATGCCATTAATAAACTGAAATGGATGAAAATTGATAAAATGTATAAGTCCCAGCTCCTAAATCTGACTCATAAGGTTCTTTATTCAAAAATACGTCATATTTAGTAAACAAATTCATACGTAGAGGGAATATGCATGGCAATAACATTAGATATAGAGAGCCTTTTTCAATTCCACGCCACAGCACATCTCTATTTCAGCATATATATATTACAATTCGATCAAATCATAATAATTCTTTAGACCGCAGTTTAAAAGAAACCAATCCATTACCCAAATTCAAGAAAAAAGTGAAAGAAGTTCTACTTGATCAGCAGCGAAATCTGTTGTAACCCATAAGTGGCCTCAATGTTCCTTATGCCTTTACTTAGATTATAGTCTACTCTGTCGTTATTGTAATATGTATTAATTTTCAACAAATTCTGTTTTTTTACATCTCGTATTGTTAAGGGGGTTAGATGGTAGTAGAATAGATATGTTATCTAAATCTCGCCTCCTGTAAGAAATTACAAATAAATTTATTATTATTATTACTTTTCCAGCAAAAAAGCGTTTTGGAAAAATGTGACGGGCGGTTTCAAAAATGACGGATTTCATATTTATTACAGCAGCCGCCTGGGCGGACCCATGGCTTTGGGTCTGGCCCATCAGTTGTCCGCCACCCGGCTTCTATCCTCCCCGGATGTCAGTAGATGCCGTATGGACGATGAAATTTGGGCCCCCCTGGTCAGACTCCTGTAGCAGCTTACATCGCGAGGCGTACGCCGAAGTTAGGGGGGTCATGGGGTCACCTCCCCCCCGGAGGGATACGCTTGCCTGTGGGGGTTGTTTCAGGGCGTGCAGGGCCAGAATACATCAAGCATTGCCAAGCGGAAGGTAAACACTTTTGCTTAAAATAATTTTTTAGGATGTTTCTATAATACCAGACTTTTTGTAAATACCAAATTTTGGACAAAAATATGGGGCCAGGAATTCTCATCCAGATTACAGAGCTACGTATTCCTACAGAAACGTATTAGAAAATGATATTATGGTCAAACTAGGGGACAATATATATGTTAGGGATTCCGTGAAGGATTTGGGCTTAGTGGTTGACTCTAAACTAAAGTTTAGAGAACACTTACTCTGTGCCTAAGAAAGCATCTTCAATGTTAAAAATAATTTCAGAACTTTATTATTATCAATGTCTTGAAAGTCATTTGCATTATTATAAGAATTGTTTAAATTTGTTTTTTTGGCTCCAGCAGCTGCTTCTTTAAGGGACAAGCTGATGTAGCCCCTTTATTATCTTTGGTTTGTAAACATTTATATACCGTTTAATGAGGGTAATAAATTATTATTATTATTTGAAAATGTCATTATACGCTATGTATTTTTAGATATAGTTCCATTCCTAATTCGTAAGCTCTGGCGTCAAACTGACGATGAGGTGGATTCTGAATCTACGTTCCCAAGAGACCAGAAAACACGTGATCTCTTAAACAACTAGAAGCAAAATTCTTTGCTGAGTACATGCGTTCTGACTCTCACTCTTAAAACTCAAGTTCAAGATATCTGTTCCTTGGATTTATTCCTGTTTTTTATCAGATAGATCAAGGGTTGCGGTTATATAATCAACACAAGCAGCAACAAGCTG